TTTGCCATGAAACTAATTACAATCATGTAGAATCTTTCCCTTTTAAGTGATGCACGAAATATTTGATTCATAATGGATGAAATCTCTGCACAAAAAGATTTAAAATGTATTATTTGCTATTTTTTCATATTTAATTTTAATTAAGTGAATTAATAATAATAAGAATTCAAATAATTAAAAAAAATGAGAAAATAACTCCCTTGGAGGTATATGGGTCGTGCATAGCCTTTGGGTGATGATTCATGGAAGAAATTGAGGCCCATTAGCATTTTTGAGGCATTTGAAGCAAAGTTGACTTTTCAAAATTCCCAAAAATTTCCCAACTTCCACAAGGCATATCTTGCTCAATTTTTAAGCTTTGATCATGTTCTTGGACATTTTGGAAAGGTCATGAAGTCCTCTAACCAATGCCTTTGGTCCCATGTCATTTTGATTTACCAATCTCAAGTTATGGTCTTTGACTTAAAGTGCCTTTTTGTTGACTTTTGAAAATGACCTATAATGTTGAAATTGATAACTTTTTGTGAGAGCATTTCCTGGACTTGAAGTGTGAAGATGAGTTGTAGGAAATGTCATTCTCTTCAAAATGAGCTTTGGATGGAATTTTTCTGATAAACCATGTGGAAGTTATGCCCTGGTCAATTTGCAGTTGACTTTTTCAGCTATCCAAAAATAGAAACTTTTGCATCTTGAGACTTTTTGAGCCATGCCTTGAGAATCATGATCAAGAATTGATCAAATGATGTTTGTGGCTTCAAAATAAGATGTTGACCAAATTTTTTGACTTTTGACTGTCAAATGACCATTTTGCCCCTGCAGTTGATTGTAGGGCATTTTGGATTTTTGACTGTGCAATCTGGTGCTGTGAGTCCAGAAACTTGGCATATGGATGCTTGACAATGTATGTAGACATGTGGGGCTTTTTTGGACCCTTGGAAACTTCAATTTCTTTGCCAGAACCAAAACCCTAATTTTTGACTGTTAGGAGGCAATTGGACTGTGCAACCCTTGAGAGATTTTGAACCTTGATCTTGGCAAATCTTGAAGAATATGGGAGGGCAAATTTTGGGGTACAACAGTTTCCCCTGTTCAATCTTCTTAGACCTGAGGATGTAGATTGGCTTGCGTTCCTTTCGTAATCCGAAGGTGGAAGATGATTGAACACTAGAGTGCCCAGAAATTTGCACTCACATAGTAGAATGTCAGCAGTGTGATGATGGGAATGGGCTTACAAATGCCATTTGGAGACTGTTGTGGCGTGGATGGGCTTATAGATGCAATCTGGAGATGTGACAGAACCTTGTCGGGAATGGGCTTATAGATGCCATTTGGAACTGCAATGGATAGTTGTGGAGATGGGCTTATAGATGCCATCGGGAGGTTGTTTGATCGCGTAAGAGATTCCTTAGCGAGAACTTGCGTACCTGAGAAGGAAAAATAATTACCTGGCGGGATACAGGAATCGAGTCCGGAGAATATAGTCATCAACAGATACATCCTGGCAGGATGCAGGAATCGGATCTTCGAACTCTTCAGACGCATCCTGGCAAGATACAGGAATCGGGTCTGGTAATGTTAGTCGTCAACAGATACACCCTGGCAAGATACAGGAATCGGATCCTTAAACTCTTCAGACGCACCCTGGCAAGATACAGGAATCGGGTCTGGTAATGTTTAGTCGTCAACAGATACACCTTGGCAAGATACATGAATCAGATCATCAAACTCTTCAGACGCACCCTGGCAAGATACAGGAATCGGGTCTGGTAATGTTAGTCGTCAACAGATACACCCTGGCAAGATACAGGAATCGGATCCTCAAACTCTTCAGACGCACCCTGGAAAGATACAAGAATCGGGTCTGGTAATGTTAGTCGTCAACAGATACACCCTGGCAAGATACAGGAATCGGATCCTCAAACTCTTCAGACGCACCCTGGCAAGATACAGGAATCGGGTCTTGAATCAGTCGTCAACAGATACACCCTGGCAAGATACAGGAATCAGATCTTTAGTTGTGACCGTTGATGGTAATCATCTTGGTATTAACCTTTGTCCTGAAAAGACAAAACATTAGTTGTATGCGATGTCATGTTGTATGACGTGCGAGATGAGATTGTATGTTCATGATGCGTATATGCATGCTGTAATGTATGAAGATGCGATGTTTATGAATGTATGTTTTCGTCTTAGGAAAATAAATCCTTGACGGATGCCGGGAAGTTAAATCCTGGGCTGATGTAGAGCTTTTGTTTCCACTGGGGAGTGATGGTTGCAAGAATACCGGTAGGAGAAGATGACTCCGTTGGGGAATAAACTTGGAGATTACTCTGTGGGGGAAAATTATTCTAGCGATCTTGCTGGGGAACAATACTCTGTGGGAAGAGAGGTACACTACAAGAAAAATGATAGATTGGGACGGTTATTTTGGCTGATTACGACGGTTAAAACCGCCGCAATTTACAATCTACGACGGTAGAAGTACCGTCGCAGAATCGTGCGTCCCCAGCCTATTTCGCGACGGTTGCAAAAACTGTCACGCACAACAGATAGCGACGGTTATATACCGTCGTGAATTTGAATTTATTTTTTGTTTTTGTTGTTGTTTGCGACGGTTATTCTACCGCCGTAGGTTAGAAATTGCGGCGGTTTTAACCGTCGTAATCTGATTTATAAATTTCAAATAATATTTTTATTTAAATTATTATTTAGTAAAATAATTTTAAATATAATATTATTTTACTATAATATTTTACTATTATATTTAAATTATTATTTACTTTAATATTTTTTTATTTATAGTATTTTTATTTTATTTTCTATCACTTTTACTATTATATTTAAATTATTATTTACTTTAAAATTTCACATATAGTATTTTTATTTATAGTATTTGTCATAGATATTAGGATTTTAAGCAACTGATTTTTCAGGGACACTTTCATTATTTTCAACGAAAGTACATTGTGAATGATCCAATCCAATATCTTTCACCTTCATTTCAGAGTTTTTCTCCACTGTGTTCTCCAACAACATTTCATTAGGGAAATTGTTCCTATAAAACTCAACCTTCGCTTCCAAGTCTTCTATCTCCTTCTCCTTCTCAGCAAGAAGGTCGTTAGCATTTTGCAAAGCTTCCATTTCATATTCTGATTGCTCATCCATCATCCTTAAGTGCTGCAAGGCTTCCATATGTAATGTTGCCTTTTCTTCCTGCAGTCTAGTGATCATGGCTAAAGCTTGACTTGCAGCAATTGCAGAAGCATTTCTTTCTTCCTCCAGCTCTTTATACAAAGCATTCATAAGTTTCCTGTCATGATCAACTTGTCTTTTAAGCTTGTCAACCGGACTTTCACCTTCAATTTCACCGACAATGCTTCCATCCAGAGACAAACCAGACTCATTCCGCTCAAGCGAAATCATTTTTTGAAGTATTTGCATTCCAGTTGAGTTGGAAACATCAGAACTCTTTGCTTCTTCGCTATTTATAGACAACCTAGGACTGATATCATTAAAAGACATATCAGTCCCACGAGTGGCAGAGAATTGTGACATTAATATCTTCAAATCTTCATTAACTCTTGATGAATCTTTCCAGAGCCAATGTTCTGCAAGCATGCCAGACAACTGTCTTCCTCTATTACCGACAGCTAGCTTATAAGCATCCCCAAGATCAAGTGAATTCAGATTTTGTTGACCAATATCACTAGAAACAAGGCTTGATTCTAAACCTCCTTCAGATGCTATTAGCTTATTGCCTGAATTAATATGTTCTTCACTGTCCACAGTGGGTCCTTGCTCAGATGTTAATCCCTCTTCATCGTTTCTAAAATCATCTGTACGAGAAACAATAGCATTATGATTATATTTCAACTAAAAAATGCAGAAAAGGTTTGGTTAAATCAGTATAAAACTAATGCACTTATGGACTCGAAATAGTAAAATTTAAAATGTTCAGCTATATAAAAGGCCCTAGTCATTTTTCGCCCTACATCTATAAAATATGATTTGGGCATCAAAAACTAGATTATTTAATTTCATCAACTTTCTGCGATGAATTATAACACAGACCTCTATCTTCAAATCCAAGCATCAAAGAAATGCAATCACAAAAAAATAACTTACCATTTTCCTTTGATACTTCGACAGGCACTCCGATTTTACTCGATAATGTAGGAACATCATTGAAGGGAGTAGCCTCACTCGGGGAGGGACAAACAGCACTTCTTTCAATCTTCTGCCATTTAAGTTCTGTCAAACCGTTCCCACTTTCCACTGCTGCTGCTGCTGCTACAGTTTTGATACCATCAACATGTATATTTTCTACTAGAGGTTCAACATTAGACTTAACCTTTAACAATCCTTCCTTTAACAATTCAAAAGCTAACTATTTATGCCAGCACATTAAATAAGAAAATATAAAAATCAGAAGGAATCAAGTCTGTAAGAGGAAAGGATTAAAATACATTTCCTTGACAGCTTATGACAACTTACCATAACCACCTACAACTGAACTCAGCTAACTCTTTATTAGGAGTGATAACGGAAATTCCTAAACTAACCCTAACAAGCTTCAACTAACTTTATAACTGTTTCTCACTCTCAGATTTATTCTTCACCTCTGATTCCTAACTGACGCTCACAATCTAATGCCCTAAAGGAATCTCTTATAACTGACTCAAAATTGCATCAACTATATATAGCTTCCTCTCATCTCAGATCATGCTCTCTCACCATTTCCCAAATTTTCACATGCATCATTTTCACCTTCATTCTAAAACTTCATGTTCATCCTCATCATCCTCTCATCTACATTATCTTCATCCTCACTCCAAACCTCTCCTTGCATCATTCTCTCTACTCTCTAAAAATCATAACACCAACACATTACTGCTTCATCACTAAACATCAACGTAACACAAAACAACATCAAGACGCATAATAATAAAAGTGTTTTGTTGTAGAATCTCTGCATAACAAATATGCATGTAGAAACTTCACTATAAGACATATTTGGCTGGCTGCAAATAGAACTTATTTCTGCAAACAATGAACACACGGCAACACAGATGAAACAATCACATTTCCACGCATAATGAAGTTGCTCAACAAAAATTGAAAGAAATAATGTTACCTCAACAAAAGGGCGGAGTGGCTCAGGAAAATAACATGCAATAACAGCAACAGCTGCTTCTCTATATGCCAATCTCAGTCTCAGTTCTTCAGGAATTTCTGTAGTGTCCTCTTGCCCTGTTTCAAATGTTCCTTTTTGCTGCAAATCCATAAGTTTCATTAGATGGTGTAAAAATGCATTAAACATATCATAAGAAATTGCTGAGTCAGAAAGAAGCTGAGAAATCACAAACCCTTTTTAATGCCTCAAGCAACTCGTCACGCCCAATATAATCCAAATCCTTCCTGGCCGTTAAAATTCCAGCTTCGTTCCTGTCATTTATTCGTGATCTGTCAGTCTATATTCTGATGATGGATTGATGCAGAAACTTCTATCAAAGATTATTTACAGTATATTCTGCAGCTCTGCCCCAGTAAAAGTTTAATAACTTGGGTGAAAGCAATATAAAGCAAAAACTGTTCATATGCATCAATTTCTAGATGAAAACCTTTATCTTCTCTATAACCCTAATTTTCATCAAGCAAAGTTACATTAAGATAAAATCATAGCTAACACAATAAGGGTTTTTGCTTCTGAATTGAATCATAGAAAAAAGAAACATAACCTGTTTGATAGCACTGGAAACAGAGAGAGTGGTGCTTTGATTGAGGCATTCAACACCAATCCAATCTATGAAGCCTAAGAGATCAACCTAATCAAGAGTATATGAACTAGGTTAGAACTTGTGTACCCTAAATCAAATAAGATAAACTTGACGATGATCATAATAGTGAATGATAGAGTTTGAATCTTACTTGACCCTTGTGAATAGCGGTGGCGGATTCTCCAGACATTGCTGCTGATTTGTGCGACACGGAATACCTTCTTTGTGCGACTTCAAAGAGAGATCTTCCCCTTTGCTTAGCAATCGAAGGAGGCCAGTACGAAGACCTCTAGAGGACATTTGATGCTTTCGATTGGATATCTCAGATCTGACACGTAGTCGTCTTTATGTACAAAGGAGTTTGTGATTCTGAAAAGAAAAGGAAATTGCGGTAGAATTTGAGAATCTTAGCGCGTGAATTGAAAGAACGTTACGAAAGGTTGAGAACGATCATAAATCTGAGCGGCGTCGGTTCTTAAACCGTCGTGGGATATGATATGTTCCAGGCAAAGGGACGGTGAAAGGAACCGTCGTGGAATATGCTATAATTCTATTTTTTATTGAATATATATTAACATTACTATTATATTATTTAAATACTACTAATATTAATATAGTTACTATTATATTATATAACTACTATTAATATAATTAATAGTTAGTAAGTAATATTATAATACTAATATTATAATTAATTAATTACTATTATTATATTTAATTAATAAAAGTGAAAAGATGGAAAAATAAAACAAATGGAAAAAGTGAGAAAATAAAATAATAACAAAATAATAATTATGATTGGTCAAAGTAGTCGCGACAATCTGTTATACTGGTCGCGAGTGTGGAAAGAGGGCAGTTTTTTGGCAACTGTCTCAATTATGTTACTCAATATGCTTAAAAATCTACGACGGTTGGCTCTAACTGTCGTGACAACTGTCGCAGTCCAAGAATAAGGACAGATTTATGGGAACCGTCGCAACTCATGTGTCGTAAAACTCATTTTTTCTTGTAGTGGTACTCTGTTGAGATGTTGATGATAACTTCGATGGGAATACCGTTGTTATGTTGGAAGTTTTAATAGACTCCGCTGGGGATAAGAAGACTTCGCCAAGGACGGTCTTTCCGTGGCTTTTGGCTGAGGATAACCCAGTTATATCCTGGTAGGGAAATAACCTTTGAATAAAGCCGGGAGACGCGTTCGTGCTCTGCAGGGGGGAAGCTTCCAGAATCTACTGGGGATAAGCTTCAAGACCTGCTGGGGATATGGATTGAACTTTCCTAGGGAAATTCTCGGATTGGATTCTCCTAGGGAAAGTTTTGAGATATATTGGGGAAGTGGCTCCACCGAATGTCTGATATACCGCTGGGGAACAATCTTAGATCAAGACTGCCGGGGATGCTTGTTAGGAATGTCTGTATACTCCTGGGGGAATGTTGAGATCTGCAGGGGATACCCAACTTCCTTAAGGCTGCCTGTGGACTAATTCAGCTTGGGGAAAGTATGTTGACTTGCTGGCTCACTCTCTGGGGAGTTAAGAGATCTTGGTTATGTTCTTCGGCTGAACTTACGTTGGTACCTTGGTGGACAGAACAATTATATCGCTTAGACAACTCATTATTGCCCCTGTTTCTAATGTTACCTATAATTAATCCTTTGTTTCGTATGCAAATATTTATGAGTTAACAATTAGTGTCAAATGCATATATCACAACTTGAACCTTGGACATTCTTCGCAAAACAAAACAGAAAAAGAAAAACAATTGGCAATTTTAGCTGAAAAGTGAATTTATATTGATTTTTGAATTTGCCTGTAAATAGGCGTTTATGTACAAGAGGCTGACGTCCTAGTAGGAGAACGCCGCCGAATAGAAGAGTTTATACAATTTGTGAAAAAGGGACAACAAAACAGCTGTGTGAAAAGAATAATCCCACTGGGTTCCAACTCTGCTATCGCCTTTATATCTTCGAGCGTCTCATCACTTTGCTGCTCAGTTGACGATGAAGCTGATTGATCGATGCCGTTTGAACTTGATGTTGATACCGGATTCTGGATGCAAGGTGATCCAATGAGACATAGTATTACGCTTTATCCTAATTTTTGCCTGGACTGCCCTTTCGGGTTTTCAGTCCACCAGGATACCCATTTTTGCCCAAGCCGCCTTTTCAGGTTTTCGACTTGCCGGGTGTACAGATTTTTTTTATTTCATCCCTCATTTTCCCCGAACCCTTTTGGTTCGCCGGGAAGCCCTAATTTTTGCCTAGGTATGTCAACCTAGCGGGTCTTTTATCATGCATAGTATCTTTTTACTATGTCTGCATTGGCGGGGTGAGGAAGGTCGTCACCATCCATGGTGGTTAGAATCATGGCTCCTCCTGAGAACACATGTTTAACCACAAATGGCCCTTCGTACGTAGGGGTCCATTTGCCCCTGGGATCACTCTGAGGAAGAATGATGCGTTTGATTACCAGGTCCCCAACTTGATATTCTTGTGGTCTGACTTTCTTGTTAAATGCCCTGATCATCCGCTTTTGATACGTTTGACCATGACAAATAGCAGTGAGTCTCTTTTCGTTGATTAGATTTAACTGATCAAGTCGTGTCTGGATCCAATCATCTTCGCTCAGATCTGCATCCTTCATTATCCGGAGAGAGGGTATCTGCACTTCGATCGGTAAGACTGCCTCCATGCCATAGACCAAGGAAAAAGGTGTTGCCCCGGTTGACGTCCTTGCTGAGGTACGGTACCCATGAAGAGCGAATGGTAACATTTCGTGCCAATCTTTGTAAGTCACTGTCATCTTCTGCACAATCTTTTTGATATTCTTATTCGCTTCTTCTACAGCCCCATTCATCTTCGGCCAGTAGGGAGAAGAGTTGTGGTGCTGTATCTTAAATTGCTCGCAGAGCTCAGTGATCATCTTGTTATTGAGATTGGTATCGTTGTCCGTAATGATCCTTTCTGGGACGCCGTACCGACAGATCAGGTTATGCCGAATGAACCGTGCTACGACATTCTTGGTTACAATGGCATATGAAGCTGCTTCAACCCACTTTGTAAAGTAATCAATCGCTACCAGGATGAAGCGATGCCTGTTGGATGCCGTAGGTTTAATCTCGCTGATCATATCAATGCCCCACATAGCAAAAGGCCAAGGTGCTGTCAAGACATTTAGAGGAACTGGAGGAACGTGCACCTTATCTGCGTAAATCTGGCACTTATGACATGTCCGAGAATGTTGGTAACAGTCGGCTTCCATGGTGGACCAGAAATATCCTACCCGAAGGATCTTTTTTGGATGGTATGTCCACTGAAATGCATTCCGGAGGTACCTTCGTGTAGCTCCGCCATAATCCTTTCTGCTTCAGTCTTATCCACACAACGCAGTAAGGTCGAATCATGGTTTCACTTGTACAGGATGCCGTTGCTAAGGAAGAACTTCGCTGCGAACCTTCTCAGGAACTTTTTATCATTGACAGATGCACCTTCAGGATACTCTTGAGCTTCCAAGTACCTCTTCACCTCATGGTACCAGGGTTTTTCAGTCACTACCTCAGCCTCAAGATCACAACAGTATGCCGGTTCGTCCAGTTTCCAGATAATGACCCGGGGAGCCTCATTGTCCCACTTGACTTTGAACATGGAAGACATCGTAGATAACGCGTCCGCCAACTGATTCTCCTCTCTTGGGAAATGTTCAAAAGTTATCTCTGTAAAATGGGGGATCAATGTCAACACACATTCTTTGTAAGGAATAAGATTCAGATGTTTCGTATCCCACTCGCCTTTGATCTGATTGATCACGAGCGCGGAATCTCCGAAGACACTCAGAAACTTGATCCTTAAGTCAATCGCAGCTTGAAGACCCATGATGCATGCTTCATACTCCGCCATGTTGTTGGTGCAGTTGAAACATAGCCGGGCAGTGAGTGGAGTATGAGTGCCTTGAGGGGATATGATCACAGCGCCAATACCGTTACCCAAACCGTTGGAGGCTCCGTCAAAGTGCATAGACCATCGGGATCCTTCCTCAGGTCCTTCATCCGGTCCAGGTACTTCACAATCAGTCACTATCATGATGCTCTCGTCTGGAAACTCGAAGTTCATTGACTGATAGTCGTCTACTGCCTGGTGTGCCAAGTGATCTGCCAATACACTTCCCTTGATGGCTTTCTGAGTCGTGTACTGGATATCATATTCCGTCAAGATCATTTGCCATCTTGCTATTCTTCCAGACAGAGCAGGCTTTTCAAATATGTACTTTATTGGATCCATCTTCGAAATCAACAAGGTAGTGTGAGTCAGCATATACTGTCTCAGCCGACGAGCAGCCCATACCAAAGCACAACAAGTTTTCTCGAGCAGTGAGTATCGGGTCTCACAGTCGGTAAACTTTTTGCTAAGGTAATAAATGGCGTGCTCTTTTCGGCCAGACTCGTCATGCTGCCCCAGCACACACCCCATTGAGCTGTCAAGTACTGTCAGGTATAGTATCAGAGGTCTCCCTTCAACCGGTGGCATAAGAATGGGTGGTTCTTGGAGATACTCTTTGATTTTGTCAAAAGCGGTCTGACATTCATCGTTCCAACATACTACCTGATCTTTCTTCAGCAGCTTAAAGATTGGCTCACAGGTAGCAGTTAGGTGCGAGATGAATCGGGCAATGTAATTCAGCTGTCCTAGAAAGCCTCTGACTTCTTTCTCTGTCTTGGGAACTGGCATCTCTTGAATGGCCTTAACTTTGGTAGGGTCCACTTGAATACCCTTGTCACTTACGACGAAGCCTAGCAACTTTCCAGACCTTACCCCGAAGGTGCACTTGTTTGGATTCAACCTCAGCTTGTACAATTTCAAACGGTCAAACAGTTTCGTCAGATGGTCAAGGTGTTCCTCCTCAGTTTGGGACCTTGCAATCATATCGTCAACATACACTTCAATCTCATGATGGATCATGTCATGAAATAAAGCAACCATGGCACGTTGGTAAGTTGCCCCAACATTTTTCAACCCGAATGGCATGACCTTGTAGCAGAAGGTTCCCTACTGAGTAACAAAGGTAGTCTTTTCCATGTCTTCAGGAGCCATCTTGATCTGATTATACCCTGAAAAACCATCCATGAAGGAGAATACCTTGTGCTGAGCAGTATTATCAACCAGAACATCAATGTGAGGTAGGGGGAAGTCATCCTTGGGGCTGGCTCTGTTCAGATCCCTGTAATCAACACACATTCTGACCTTACCATCCTTCTTCGGTATTGGTACCACATTAGCAACCCACTGAGGGTAAGAAGTCACTACA